TTCTGGGTCTATTGGTTTAGCAGGATCCATTCTGGTGTTGGATGGCTTCAAAGCAAGCTTTATCCCTTAATGATTCCCTAATCCGTGTTGTTACGTGAGCTAGCAAACATTTGAAAAGCGAAGATAAAGACTGGAATGGAGCAGAAATGTTCAGTGGGAGCAAAGGACTTACAGGTTGGAAACCCAGAACCCACACTCTGAGAGTGAGCGAATGCCAGATAGAAGCAGCGTGTCTATAGATCAGTGTAATTATCAGTACTGATCCAAGGATAAAACCACCAAAGAGCCTTCCATTTTATAGGCAAGATGGCAAAAAGAGGAAGGCTGTCCCCTGTGGTAGCTTAAAATTGTATGTTGGGGGGACGTAGGGGTCACTGTTCGTTGAAGCTGGAGCCTGGGGGACTTATCTCCAAGCATTTCTGCTCACAATGAGAAAAACTGTCTCATGTTATTTGTCCATTTCAAAGAGTGGTGACTGCCGGTGGTGATAAGTCCCCCGGGCCACACCCTCCACCCCCTGCATGGTGCCACTTTACTGTGAAAATGAAGTTTCAGTGAACAAGGTGATCAGTGAAGGACTATTCCTTAACATTTTTCTTACGGTCCTCGAGTATAAACTTGTGTTAGGTTTATTCTATAAGTTGCCTTTGAATAAAATGTAAGCTCATGATAACTGATTGTAATCATTAGTTGATGAGATATCATTACAATATACCTTTGCATTTGACCCAATAAATTGCACAGATTCAAGATGTACAATTTAATAAGTCTTGACACATGTGAATCCATCACTATAATCAAACTCTGAACCTATTTATTCCCAGGTACCCCTGTAAATCTCTCCCTCTTCCTTCCCCCATGTCCACACAAGCAGTTATCTGATTTCTTTTATAATAGTTTAGTTTGCATTTCAGTCTTTATTTATGGTACAAATAGGATGTACCCTTTTTTTCCAGCTTCTTTCATTCAGCATAATTATTCTAAGATTCATCCTTATTGTTGCTTTTATATATATATAGCTCATTCCTTTTTTTTTGTACCAGGGATCAAACTCGGGTCCTTGCGCTTGTGCAGCAGGTGATGAAACCACTGAGCTAAATCCCCAGCCCCGCTCATTCCTTTTTATTGCTAGCTAATATTCCTTTGTTTTTTGTTTTTTGGTGCTGGGGATCGAACTCGGATCCTTGCGCTTGTGCAGCAGGCTAATATTCCTTTGTGAGTATACCGTGATTTCTTTATCCATCCACTTGTCGATGGATATTTGGATTGTTTCCAATTTTGGCTGCACACACAAAATCTGCTGTGAGCTTTCATAATAAGCCTATGATTGGTCACATATCTCTTTTTCTCTTGGGTGGGTACATACTATTGGAATTGCTGGATTACATAAGAAATATATGCTTACCTTTTCAAGGAAAGCTAACCTGCTTTTCAAAGTAGTCACACCACACTACCTTGTTCTTTAAAAGGTCCTAAAAGGTTCACTGCTCTAGGTTCTTTGCATTTCCATATAAAATTTAGCCTTACCTTGACCATTCCTTAAAAACATCTGGAAGGATTTTGATTGTGAATACAGTGAAGAAAAGCCTCAGTTAGGGGAAAACTGACATCTTAATAATATCAAGTCTTTTATCCATGAACATGGTTTATCTGTTCATTTATTTGGATTCCCTTTAATTTCTTTCACTAAAATACCAGGTTATAATAATTGATTACAGGGCTAGGAGTATAGCTCAGTGGTAGAGCACTTACCTAGAATGCACGAGGACCTGGGTTCAATTCCAAGCACAAAAGAAAAAAGATTACAAAAATTATTTTATTTTATTTTTGATACCAGGGATTGAACTCAAAAATTAGTTAATTTTAAAATATCATTAAAGTGCATTGTTGAAACCAAGGACTATATTTCCTTTTAAGTGGCAACAGAACTATCATGGAATAGAGGCAGGTTAAAATGTTTGGAGGCTTACATGAAGTTATACTCCTGCTCACAGAACTTTAAAAATTTCTATTCATTTTTATCAATAAATAATATCCTCCTCGTCCAGACTCATAATACCACCTTATCAAGAGATTGCAGGTTGACTCAACAGATAAGTGTCATTCAGAATTACTCAGCAAAACCCAAGTTCCTTTTCACTAAAAACTCAACAGAAAGAAAAGATATAAGGGCAAAGAGTATTGATCAGAATTATTTCAGCCTGTGTCGGGGGGTGGGGTGGTAGGGATTCTCATTAAAAAGCAACCATAGATTTCAACTATTTTAAAAGTTGTAATAGAGGTCATAGGGTTTATCTTTAAAATTCAAGTTATTGTTTGTGCATCTGTGAGTCTGTTGTAAAATGCAATACGTCTAGGTGGGCCAGGAAGAACTGAGACTTGCAGTGTTGTGGGTGGTTAGAAGATAGCATCTGAAGTGAAAGAAGAGCACTAAGTCTGTATGAAAGGGGAGGTAAGGAGAGTAGAATATAAAGTCCATTAAGCATTACCCTCTCAAACAAAGTTAGAACTCAAGGGAGGGGTCTCTAGAAGTCACTCAGTCAAGCTGCCTGTATTTAAGGGACACATCTGAAATGCTTGAACAGGACAGAGCCTAAGGCAGCAGATAAGATAGGAGATAGGACATCCTGAATGTCTGATTACCCTAAAGGCTCTGCCACAGGTCAGCACTACCAATACTTTATAAATCACCCCAGTTAAAACCAGTAAAAGGTGGCCCTCGGGCCAGGACAGACTCACAGGTGCTCAGCCCATCTAATGAAGTCTAGATTAGACTTCAGTCTTCACCGATCTCCTTGGCTGAGTGTTTTTTGTGTGGAGCACAGAAGTTAAACAAGTGGTTTTTCCACAAGCCAGAGATATTTAGAAATCAGAATTCCTAACTCAGCTTGGGAGCCAGATGATTAGAATCAGCACAGTTTGTACACAAAAGTTTCAACAGAAAATTTTGTTTCCAGCAGTCAGGTATATTTCAGGGTGGGTAGGCACCAGGATGGAAGTCAAGACACTGCTGATGCAAGGTAGGAGTGACATAAAGATTCCTGAATGGAAGCCTGATATGGTGGTGCACACAGTAATCCCAGCACTCTAGGAGGTTCAGGCAGGAGGATTGCCAGTTTGAGCCCAGCCTGGGCAATTTAGTGAGACCCTATCTCAAAAGAAATAGAGAGAGAGAGAGAGAGAGAGAGAGAGGGAGGGAGGGAGGGAGGGAGGGAGGGAGGGAGAGAGAGAAACGAAGGAAGGAAGGGAGGGAGGGAGGGAGGAAGATAGGGCTGGGATATGGCTCAGTGTGAAGGTCCTGGGTATACACACACACACACACACACACACACACAACCTGAACAGAGAACAATCATCTTTAGGGATCAAGTTATAAAAGAGTAATGATAAAGCCACCTGAGAAACAGGTCAGAGCCTTGACCTTCATGAAGCTGAGCTCAGACACTGGTTTCTATTCCAAAGGCCCCTCAGGCCTTAAGGGGTGCATTTGAGCTGAGTATGAGAGAGCTAAATGTGTGCTCCAGGGGCTGGGCATTGGTCTTTGATAGGAAAATTGAGCAAAACCTCCATTTTATTTGGGATTGCAGTGATAAAAAACTTGAGTTCCTCCATATGTGAAGCAGGACACATATTTTCAATGTATCTATGGTGTTTTTAAGGCCTGGACAAAGAAGCATGCACTTCACATCAGTATATTAGAAGGATGGTGTGTAGCTCAGTTTAAGATCAAGTGAGAAGTTAAGTAAAGCAGTCTATAATAATCAACACCTACGGAGTATACAGTATAATGCTGGAATTACTTTCCAAGGAAAAACAGAATTTAGGGTTTTCTTTAAACTTATGCAGGTATTGTGACCTCAGGAACTTTGAAATAACTACCATATGTAAGTGCCATTAAAGTTGTTAAAATGCTATTAAAATTAATAATGAAGACAGTATTTAGGCAAGTTTAGCATATTTAAATTTATTACCAGGATGAACTATATATTACATAAACATTTTAAATTAAGATTATCTTGGTATTTATTAACTCTACAATTTTAAGGGTTAGAATTTCAATCACTAAATTACTGAGGGGTTAGTCTCGTTTTCTTCAAGTCTGATTCATTGATTTTTGTTTGTTTGTTCTATTGTTGTTTGCAGACATAGTTTCACTGTGTAGTCCAGGCTGGCTTTAAATTTGTGATCCTCAGGCCCCAGTCTCCTGAGTGGTGGGATTACAGGTATATGCCAACATGCCTGGCTAATCTGACCCATTGAATGCCATCTTGCAAGACAGCACTTTCTAGTAGATTCTAGGGCTCAAAGTGTCTGGAAAACCCTGGGTCGTCTTGTGCAGAAAACGAAACACATTAGCCCATTAAAAATTCTGCAGGTAGGCAGGCACGGTAGCATACACCTTTAGTTCCAGTTACTCGGGAGGCTGAGGCAGGAGGAATGTGGATGGCTTGAGCCTGGGAGTTCAAGGCCAGCCTAGGCAACATAGTGAGACCCTATCTTAAATCTATGTTGCCTAGGCAACATAGTGAGACCCTATTTTAAAGAAAAAAAATGTTCTGTAGGAAGACAAACTTTCAAAACTTTATTTAACCAAGCATTTCCCAGAGTGATGTGGTTATTGTACTCCTTTTTAAAGTAAAATTTTGCCAGGTGTGGTGGCACACACCTGTAATCCCAACACCTGGGAGGCTGAGGCAGGAGGGTCACTGAGAATTCTACACCAGCCTGGGCTACACAGTGAGTTCAAGGCCAGCCTGAACTACACAGTGAAACCCTGTCTTAAAAAAAAAAAAGTAAAAATTTAACTTTCTTAACACGGTTTCACACATAGATTGTTATTTAACAAACTTTCCTAAAGCCTAGTAATTAGATTCACAGCAGTCATTTATTTAGCTCTTGAGCCTGCAGTTCTGGCAGGCTCAGTGGTGAGGTATGCCTCTCCTGCCCACGAAGTCAGCTAGCGGAGCCTCATTAGGGGCTGGGGGATCAGCTTCCCTCACCTGGGGATGACTGAAGCCGAGCATTCAGCTGGGATGGAGGACACAGGCCTCTCCATGTGGTCCTCTTCAAGGGCCGTTTGGGCTTCCGGAGAGCATGATGGAGAGTTCCAAGAGTGAGCATCTCAGGTGCCAGCACTGGAAACTGCTAATCTCTTAAATCCTGGCTCTGGAAACTGGCACAGCATTGCTGTATTAAATTCGTTCAACAGACACAAATCCCAGATGCACGGGAAGGGCACCAAGATTTCCAATTCTCGGGGGAGGTGGTCCAAAAAATATAGGGACTATGTGTTAAAATTAGAGATTCAGATTGTAAGTGCAAAGTTTGGTGAAGTTTTGCATCCATGCCATCAGCATCTAGAACCCCTCCTGAGTCTCCTTCCAGTCACTGCTCGCTCAAGGATTACAAACATCATCTGGTGTTCTCAACCTCAGCAGGGCAATTCTTTGAGTTGTCCTGTGCATGGTAGGATGTTTAGGAGCATCTGAGGCCTCTACCCAGTGGATCCTAGTAGCATCCTCTCTTAGCTGTGATAACCAAAAATGTCTCCAGAAATTGCCACCTGTCTCAGGTAGATGATAGGAGTGTAAACTCACCCCCTTTTGAGTATCTCTGGGTTAGAGAATAATATCCTGTATTGCTTGTTAAAATCCTGCTTAGTCATCTAGAATGTAAGTTCTGACTGATTCCTCAACCCTAGGACACCAACTACATATACCAGAAAATGATGACTCTGTTATAGATGATCAAATGAAAGGTAGCAATTCCAATTCTAAGGAGCCAACTCTGGGATACTGTTTTACTCTGCTAGACCCTCAATCACAAATCATATGGTTCATTATTGTTAGAATGAGCATTTTATGAAGTTGACATTGAAATAAAATACTAGAAATGATCTGCCTCTAACATGAAGCTCTATTGGCTAATCTCCTCCTGTACCAACATGAAATATGAGGAATGGAAATAAAAAAGATTGTGACTTCCAAGACAAATAGTGTCTCATGACTGCTAATACATTAGTGTAATGAGACACAATTTGTGTTTGTAGTTGTGATGGTTTTGTCAAATGAGAATGCACAGTAACAAAAACTTTTCAGAAAAGCTGGGGAGGGATGCTGGGTCCTAGAGGATTAGAAGATGTAGTGAGGACTTGGGAAATTATTTTTTATGGTGGAAACTTGAAAATTTCTTTCCAAAGACAGCCACTGGTAACACTCTGAATGTCCCCCTTCCTCCCTCAGTTCCTGAGGCAGGGTTTTCCCATTTTTTACATACATATTTTTCAGGGCAACCCCGAGAATACTTTTCAGTGGAGCCAGGCATGGTGGCACATACCTATAACCTTAGGCTGAGGCACGACGATCAAAAGTTTTAGCCCAGTCTGGGAAATTTAGTGAGTCATGAGACTTTGTCTCGACATCTGAAAAAATAAAAAGGGCTGGGGATGCAGCCCATTGTGAAGGCCCAGGGTTCAGTCCACAGGACTGCAACAAACAAAATAAAACCCAGACAAACTGTCTTAGTTACTTTCCTCATCGCTGCAACACAGTATCCAGCCCCACAGCTTAAGGGAGGAGGGGTTCATTTTGGCTCAGTGTGTAGAGGTTTCAGTCCAGGGCTGGCCGGCTCTGAGGCAGGGCGCCATGACACAGGTACAGGTGGAGGAAGCTGCTCAGTGCAAGGCAGACAGGAAGCAGAGCGAGCGAAGGGAGGAGCTGGGGGAGAGGTGAACCTGCCCCAATGACCCCTCTTCTGCCCTGGCCTCACCTAGTACCAAGTCAGCTGTCAGCCCCATACTCCAGTCCCCTCCTGCAAGCCTTGCCTGTGAGCGCCTGCAGCTCTTAGGGGCATCTGCATAGAAACCGTAACATTCCACTCCTGGCCTGCAAGAGACTCATATGCATCCCTTTACGTAAAATACATCCGTTCATCTCTAAGAGTTGTCAAAATCCCAACAGTTTCAGCATTGATGAAAAGTCCAAGCCCAAAATCTCCTCTGAAACAAATTGTGGATCCCTGTACAAATAAAAAGAAACTCAAACACTGCCAACATTCCCATTCCAAAACAGGAAAGACTAGGAGGACAGAAGCCAATGGGACCAAGAGATACTAAAACCCAGCAGGGCAAACATTAAATTCCATATTTCCACGTTCAGCACCCTGTGCAAGTTGTGAGATGAGAATATGAAAGGGCTATGGTGGCCCCATCCCTACAGCATTGCCAATGGTTTTAGCCCTCATGGTTTCTCTCTTGGACTGGCCTTGTTCACTGCTTGTGCCTTTCCTCAAACATTCCGTGTTCCCGGATTTTCCAGGATCCTGGGGTCTCTATAGTACTTTCGGCTTCACTATCACAGCTTCACACACTGCCCTCTCAGAAGCACACTACTTGGCCTCCAGGCCTTTTTCTGAAATCTGGAGGGAAGCCTCCCTGACCCCACAACTCTTGCATTTGGCGTGCCTTTAAAACAGGCATCACATGGATGCCCCAAGATCTGCTGCTGGCTCCGGCAATGGTCATGCCCTTTTGCATCATGGCTCCAGGTGCTTCTGAGTGCCTGGATGGCTGAGCACTGTGCCCTCAAAGCAAAGCCTTCAAAGCCTCACTTTTCCACCTGAGTATGGGAAAGGTGAGGTCTTCACACTTTTCCTATGCCCTCAAGGCATCCTTTTTATTGCCCTAATGTAAAGTACTTGGCTTCTTTTTAATACTAATCTTTTCACCAACCACACTATCTCCTGCTCCAACTTTATAGTGGAGCAAACTTTATAACCTCAAATTTACCAGATTTCCCTTTCTGGCTGAACTCAAAATTTTTAAATCACTCAGCTGTGCTGTTTGCTCTTGATTTTTAGTATAAACCTGGCTAAAAGTCCTCAACAGTACCCATGCCACAGCCTGAATGTTGGGCTGCCTTGAAATTTCTTCTGCCAGATTAGTCTGTTGCTTTTAATCTCAGTCTCCTGCAAAGTCTCAGGACATGAGCAAAATGTAGACAAATTTTCTGCCAGAGCATAACATACCCGGCCTGGAGTTCAAGTGCCAGTGGAGTCCTTGCTCCCAACTGAAAGCTCCTGAGACTGGCCTTTACTGTCTGCATTCTGGTCTTCTGAGATCTGACCAGAAATACCCATAAAGCTTAGCTTACAACATTCTAGGGCTGCTTCTCCAGCTGGCATCTCCAAATCTGTCCAAACTTCTTCCTTGATTCAGTTCTAAAAGCTTCTGAACCACACAGCCAGGTAGTGTCACAGCATGTCTCTACTTCTGGTACCAAAAATCTATCTTAGTCACTTTCTTGTTGTTGAGACACAATACCTGACACCCACAATTTAAAGGAGAAGGAGATCTTTCAGTCTAGGATCTGCTGGGTCCAAGGCAGGTGAGCATGGCGGAGGAACATGGTGGAGGAGTCCTGTCAGTGCATGGCAGACAGGAAGCAGAGACAGTGAAGAGAGGAGTGAGAGGGATAGATGAACCTTCCCGGGCCACACCCCTAATGACTCCATCTTCTAACCAGACCCCACTTCCTAGGACCAAGTCACCAGTCAGCCCCCATAGTCCAATCACCTCACACTTGGAGGGCATCAGGCTTGTGGGGGGACATATAGATAGAAATCATAACACAAACAACCCCTCAATAACTTTTCAGTGGAAACAGGTTTCTCTGGATTTTGTTCTTCTTGGAATTCCTCACTGTATTTATTTTCTGTTCAGTCATAATTATGTCAAAAAATGAACAGTTACCTTACTAGTATATCAGGCAACTAAAGTTTGGGGCCCAGTGAAAATAGAATTTTACAATTGCAAAGGCTTTACCCATCAAATGATCATTTTGGTGAGGTGAACTACTACAAAAATCTTAGTCTTGGGTGCTGGGGATTTAGCTCAGTGGTTCCGGCACCTGCTTCGCAAGTGCAAGGTCCTGAGTTCGATCCCTGGTACCAAAAAAACCAAAACCAAAACAAACTTAGTCTTAGCAATTACCTCATTCTATTCTGAATTGTTTCATCTCCTTAAAGCCACATGTTTTAAAAATGAAATCCATTCATTCATGCCACAAAGTGTAGGAAGCATGCAACTTGTCCAATGTCACAGATGTAGTTAAAGTCGGGACAAATAATTTTGAGCCAGTGATTGAAACCCTCACATCCAACATATGTATCTTATGAAACAAAGAACAGATATTATTTGTAAAGGTTGGAAGTAACAGAATAATTGGTTTTCTTTTCTTGCCAATGCTGAGGTTTGGACCCTGAGACTCACACTTTTGAGGCAAGCAGTCTACCTCGGAGCTATAACAATTCCAGTTGCATGACTGAGCCCTAAGGACTGGTTGCCAGAGGCTGCTAACCCTTGGCCAATCCCATTCAGCCAGAGTCTGAGTGAAGCAAACTCAATAAGAAGCATTCAAGTGCAGTACTTAAAGTTCAGAAGACGTTATGGGATCTAGCTTTTAAAACCAGAGTTTGAATACTACTTGGAAAAGAAGTATGTCTATAGAGTTTTAATTTTTTTTTTGGTACCGGGGATCAAACTTGGGTCCTTGCACTTGCGCAGCAGGCGGCGAAACCACTGAGCTAAATCTCCATCCCTATAGAGTTTTAATTTTAATTTCTCCAGAAGTGAATATGTTAAGCCTTCTTGTCACACTGCCACGTTCTTTGGATTCATTTTAGCAGAAGTAACTATGGATGAAGGGAAGTGGGAGTGTGTGTAAGAATTCTGCACGACGCAGAAGAGAGCTGAATTAGGCAGGAGGATATTTTTAGACTCCTTTTCTGAAACAAAAAAAGAGCTTAAATAAGGTGATTGGTTTACTTTTTCTCTTTTAAGGCCTTCAAAATAGGAAAAGAGGGGGCTGGGGATTTAGCTGAGTGGTTCCAGGGCCTGCCTTGCAAGTGCAAGGTCCTGAGTTCAATCCCTGGTACCAAAAAAACCAAAAAAACAACAAAATAGGAAAAGAAAAAAGATCAAAAATCTTATGAGAGACTTGATCCTCTCATTACTAGGATATGAATATCATTTTACATTCTTCATTGATACAATAAAGGAATTCATAGAAATGAAATAAAATAATGTCACTAATGTCAGAGAATTCTAAATTAAAATGAGAGGTTATTTGGGGGCTATCAACTTGGCAAAGATTAAAAAGATAGGTAATACTTTGATGCTAGTGAGGGTGTGATGTAACTGATACTCTCGTACATTTTTGTAGGAGTATAAATTGGTATAATCAATCCTTTTAGAGACCAATTTGGCAGTATAGGTTAAAAAAATTGATATAGTTTTTAAACTCAATCAATTCCACTTCTTGAATTGTATCTTAAGGAAATATACTAGGCAAATACACAAAGCTGTTTGTATATGCATGCTCGGTGTGGTAGTGTTCATAATGACAAAATAAATTGGAAGCCACACAAATGGCTACCAATAGAGAATTGCTTACATAGCTATGATACAACTGGCTGTCAAACTCCATGCAGCTACTGGAAAGGGTCAGACTGCTTTGTGCTGGCATGGAAAGATGTCAATGTCTTATATAGGATACCATTTTGATATTTGTAAAAGACATAAGAAGTGTATCCATAGAAAAAAAACCATGTTTCTCCAATTTTAGAAAAACAAGCCAGCCCATGTAGTGGCACACACCTGTAATCCCAGCACTCAGGAGTCTGAGGAAGGAGGATCAGAAGTTTGAAGCCCATCTGGCTATGTAGGGAGTTTGAGACCCTGTCTCAAAAAACCAAAATAAAAAAATTTAAAAACCCCACAAAAACAAAACTAAAGAACAGCTTTAGGGAGGTATAATTTATATACCATAAAATTCACCCATTGTTGGTATACAACCAATGATTTTTAGCAAATTTATACAGTTGTACAACCATCATCTAAGTCCACTTTCAGAACTTTTTTATTATCCCCCAAAGTTCATAGGCTTAATGTTCATAAGCTTATGTTCATAGGCTTAATGTTTTTTTGGCCAGGTTTATTATTTTATTTTAAAAAAAAGCTTGCAAAAGAAGTTCATTTCTTTTTTTCATAATGTATGAAAAAAATCAGTGAGAATATTTCTATTTATTAGGGATTCTGAACTTTAGCTTTGTTTTGTTTTGTTAGTGATTTTTTTGCAGTACCAGGGATCAAACTCAGGACCTTGTGTCTGTGAGGCAGGCCTGGTGCCACTGAGTTAAATCCCCGGCCCTTTGTTAGTGATTTTTAAGAAACCAAATACTGGGATTGAGGATTTAGCTCAGTGGTTCTGCCGCCTTGAAAGCGCAAGGCCCCGAGTTTGATCCCTGGTACCCCCACAAAAAAAACCAAAAAAAAAAAAAACCCAAATACTTTGTTGAGGTATTATTGACAAAAAAATTATTCATATTTAATTCTACAACTTGATAAGTTTGGAGACAAATATACATCCATGAACTTATAGTCATTGTCTGTGCCATGAACATATTTTTAATTTTTATTTTTTTGTTTTGTGACAGGGTCTCACTATGTATTCCTGGCTGGCCTTGAACTCACTTGTAACTTGTAACTTGTAACTCACTTGTAACCCAGGCTGGCCTTGAAATCATAGGGATCCTCCTGCCTCAGCCTCCTGAGTGCTGGGATTACAGGTGTGTACCATACTTGGCTGTGCCATGAACCTATCCATTACCACAAGCTTACCTTTTGTTTTTTTGGTACCGGGGATCAAACTCAGGTCCTTGAGCTTTCGCAGCAGGTGGTGAAACCACTGAGCTAAATCCCCAGCCCTAATTTTTAACAGTTTTTAATTGAGGAGTGAGTTTGAGTAGGACAGCCAGAAGGAAGAATTATAAAGATCTTCCTAGTCCATAATTTCTATATATGAATTATTTTTAACAAGGATATACATGTTATCTTTCAACTTGAGAAAACAGTAAAGGCTTTCCTATGTTGAAAAGAACAATACAAAAAAAAGAAGAAGGGCTGGGGATTTAGCTCAGTGGTTCTGGCAACTGCCTTGCATGCGCAAGGTCCCGGGTTCGATTCCTGGTACTCCCCAACAAAGGAAATAGACACATAGCCTTTGACCCTAATCTACTTCTGGTGATTTATACTGAGGAAATATCAAATGCATGGAAACAGAAAATTTGTAAGTAATCTTAATATCTCATGATGGGAGAGGACAATTACTAATTTTTTTTTCTTTTGGGACAGGGTCTTACTATGTGGTCCAGGCAGGCAGGCATTCGACTTGCTATGCAGACGAAGTCTGGTCTCAAACTTGTGATCCTCCTGCATCTGCCTCCTGAGTGATAGGATTACAGATGTGTGCCACGGCACCCTGTGAAAATAATGACTAGAATCAGAAATGTGCTGGATGCAAAAACTTTGCATTTTGTTTATTTGTTTATTTATTTGGCCTTTTTGAGACAGGGCCTTGCTATATAGTGTAGGCTGGTCTGGAGCTCACTACAGATGTAGCTCAGGCTGCTCCCTGCTTCTAGCTATCTCCTGTCTTGGCCTCCCTGGCGCTGGTATTACAGGTGTGGGTCACCACGCCCAGAAAAAACTTTGTACTGTATTTAGTACAATCTCATTCATGTAAAGAAAAAGTTAATGAGTGGCCAAAAAAATCCTGTTTGGAACAATAACCTCACTAATGGTTACCTTTAGCTGATAGGAGTCTAGCACTTTTTACTTTCTTTGTGTATTTAATTTTCTCCATAAATGATAGTAATAGATTAATTATGGTATTGTTTTCATGAGTATATGTCAAGAAATAAAGTGCACTGTTTAAATATGTATGGTTGATTGTACATCAATTATCCTTCGGTAAAACTCAAAAGTAGAAGGATCTTGAGAAGCTAAGTCATCTGAAGTCTTCCCGGGCTGGGTTTTGTTAGAAAGGTTTGGCTCCTGAGGGTACAGAGGGTGGGACGGGGACACGGACGTTACAGGAGCAACAGCGTCCTCGCTCCTGATGGCCCCACAGGCTCCCTCACCAGGGCAGCCTCCGTGCGCCACGCCGGGATGTTCCAAACACTGGACTCAGGCACTGAACGGCCCCTACCCCGCCAGCGCCCGCGTTGTGCGTGTATCTGTGTGGGGTGTAGCTCACCAGCGGCGGGTTTCAGCCCGCGCCCCCGCAGCCCCAGAAGCCCAGGAAGCCGGGCCTCAGTTCAGGGGAGTCGCCGAGGGTGGCACCAGGTTTCTGGCTGCAGAGGCCGCCAGGAGGGTAGGTTACCTCCGGGCCGGTCCTGGTCGCGCCTCCAGAAGTGGCCTGAACAACTTTTAGGCAGTACCTGCGCCTGTGTCGTGTGCACACCGACGCCACAGTGATAGCCCAGGCACGGTGTGCACAGGGCGTGCACCCACTGCCTCCGCTGCTGCGCGCAGCCTTCCGACGGGGATACTGGGATCTCCACCACAGGGAAACTGCGGCCCGAGGAGCCCAGCCACCCCGGGTCACAGGGCTCGCGCTGAAGTCGGAGCCCTCCCCAGCTCCGGGTTCCTTTCTAGGGACGAAACCGCCAGCTTTACCATTCCCCGCGCCCAGAGCAGCGGCGTCCAGGCCACTGCTTCAGAGCAGCTGGCGGATAAGGGTGTGGGGCCGCGGTGAGAGGCTGGCGTCGCCGCTCCGGGACGCGCGGTCCGCGGGGCCCAGCGCGCGTGCGCGGCCCGGGAGGGCACGCCCCACGGGAGCGCGCGCGGCCCGGGAGCGCGCGCGCCCGGCACCGTGTGGGCTGGGAGGGAACGCGGCGGCGGTTCCTCAGCGCCCAGGGAACGCGCAGGCCTGGCCCGCGGGAGCGGACGGCCTCGGAGGAGATTCGGCCGGCGAAGAGCTCGGCGTCTGGCCTGCGCGCCTCGGAGGCGCCTGCTGCTCCCCCGCGGCCCTCGGTGGCCACCGCCCCGGGACTTGCTGTGGCTCGGGCCTAAGTGGCCGCGGGCGTGCGGGCCGCTGGGAGCCGTCGGGCGGGGGGGGGGGGTCGGGACGAGCCCCGGGCAGGTGCCGTCCTCCCGCGGGCGCGGCCCGGGCTCGCCGGACCTCCCGAAACCTGCGGCCGGACCAGGTCCCGCCCGCCTCTCCGGGGACCCGGGTCCGCCGGTGGCGCGGGAGCGCAGAGACGGGAAACTTAGCCTTCCATTGTCGTTTCTGATCCTCGCGTGCGGAGAACTGCCAGTGTGGAGGAAAAATGTCCTTCTTCAATTTCCGTAAGATCTTCAAGTTGGGGAGCGAGAAGAAGAAGAAGCAGTACGAGCACGTTAAGAGAGACCTGAACCCGGAGGAGTTTTGGGAGATTATAGGAGAGCTGGGCGACGGAGCGTTCGGGAAAGTGTACAAGGTAAGGGGAGACGGGAAATCGCGCCGGGAGTTGCCCGCCCTGGCCCGGAGGCTCGCGAGCAGCCCGCGCCCGTCCCTCTCCTGCCCTCGCCCGGTCTTTTGACTTTGTGATTGTGCCTTGGAACTTTATTTAGCTTATCACCCAGAGGGCAGCTCAGACAGCCGGGCCGAGGGTTCAGCGCAATGGGGCCTGGGTGTAGTTTGGAGAGCGATAGCTGCGGAGACAGGGTTTTAACAGTCTACTCTGCCAAACTTCGAAGGATAGGAGTGTTCTTTAATTTATGGTAGGGGTCTGGTTGTGCCCCTCAGGATCTTAAAATCGAAAACTCATCTGTCTTCTCAGTGGATGTCTTGTGCTAATTGCATTTGCATGCATGCTTGCACTAAAGCTGTTAACTTTTGGGAGACCAGGGCATATATTTGATAGTCTGTAGCTAATACACAACCAGTCTCTTGGGATCCGAGTAAAGTGATTGCCACCTGCAGTCTATTCTTGAATTGGTTGCTTGACCATGTACTACAAAGTGGAATGGAGTTTCTGGAAGAAAATTTCCAGAAGAAAAACAGCATCTGGTACTAGTTTCTAAATATAATTATAATAAGAATTGACTAGAAGTCAATACCAGCTCTTGAGAAATTAAAAGAAAACACATACACTGTACACACATTTATTCCAATATAAAGAGGTTTGACGTTTCAAGAGAAGGCATTCGTGTTAACCCTTTACACCCTAAGGAGTGTATGAATGATGTCATTGGAATATTTTCATCCTGAAGGGTGAGGTTTTTATGAGGCATTGTTTAGAGGAAGGACCCACAGGGTTGCCTGGAAGTGAAAACATAAATAACTTACACAAGTACAGAACTTAGCAATTTTTAAGCACTTCATATTCTGTCCCTGTAAAAATCAGGAAGGTAGGCAAGCCAGTTGTAGTACCCACATTTCACCTGTGAGAACCGGAGACTCAGATTATTCACAGTTACAGGAGTCACAGCCCAGACTTGAACTTAGGTCTTCTGACCCCATATTTAATAGTATTTTTTTGCTTTGACATCTACTGGTAGAAATGATAGCATTTCCCCAACTTTTTGGGCACCATTGTACATCTGCTTTTGCCTTGCCTCAAATGCAGCTTGTCAAAATCTCAGTCCTCATTCTTTACTCAGTCTGAAATACCCATTCCTTTCTATGTGCCTTCAAAACACATGCTTCACAAGGCTACCACAGCAGTTGCCAGAGTTTATAGTCACTGCAGTTGTGTTCTGTAGCAGAATGGTGGGCCAGAGTTATAATGTGCATTTGGGGTCACCATTGCCTCAGCATGTGCATCGCTCTCTGTGTTTGTTGAAATGAAAGAATTACGTTTCCGACTTGCGAGTGCTAGATGGCAAAGTAAACTGCAGTGTTTGTGTGGAGGCTAGAGTATGGTTTCAGCAAGAACTTGGCTGCCGTATAGGATGCGTGGTAGGAAGGGCTTTTAGTGTAGTGGGAAGGTCACCCCTGGGAGTCAAGAACTGTGTTTTAGTGCTGGCTGTTACAAGCCAGCTCTGTGATCTTGGACAAAACACTGAACTCCTTTGGGTCTCCATTTTCTTAGCTGTGAAATTGTAGGTTTTCCTAAATGTTTGTTCAGATTCCTTCACCTATTAACATTGTTTGAATCAGCTAGGAAAGCAAAGATAAATTCTCAAGACATCTGGAATCTTTTTTTTTTTTCCATCTGAAATTTGTAGTGAAAGGGTGGGAGGCGATAATGAATGGCAAATATGTTTTATTGAATATAAATGGTGTAATTTTAAGAGCACATGCTCTGGAGTCAGTATATCTCAGTTCCTTCACTCAATGGTAGTCTGTGACCTTGGGCAAGTTACGTATTTGTCAAACCTTAATATTATATATGGTAATATGCAGCAGAAAACTTTCTAAACTTAATTCTAACTATCATTTCCTTATGGAAATTGATAGCTATTATAAGGATGAAATTGTAACTAGGAAATCATGCTGTGTATTTAGTTTAGATTGAATCATCTTTACATCACAGTTACATTCTTTCCACCCAATCCAGCTTTATACAACGCTAACAAAATTAATTTATTGCCTGAAAAACCTTAATGATTTTACATTTATTTTCTCTTAATATTGTATTGTATGATATATAAATGAAAATATGTAATGTCCTTCACAGTATTTTTATATTTAGATTTCTACTGTTTTTAACAGAAAAAAGGATTAGCAAAATTATGTATTGAATTATATTCCTAGAAATTGTTTTATTTCTTAAACAAATTGAAGCTGGACTCTTGGCAGTGTGCTGAATATAAGTGATTTTCACAGCTGATAGGTGTTTGCCTTTTAAAAAGTAGCAAAATATTTAATCGTTGTATTGAAAAGTGCAGAAATATATAGATAGTAATAAAGTGAATTTGTATTAACATCAGGATCAAGGAATTCTGCCAGCACCCCAGACTCCTTCCTGCCTCCTTTCTGAATCAGATCCCTTCTTTCTCCCTAAAGGAAATCACTATCCTATCTTTACGTTATTTATTTGCATCTGGTTTGCCATCTGGATGTGTATCCCTAAACATTATGAGTTTAATTTAGTATGCACTTGAATTTTGTAAGAATAGAATTATATTAAGTGTATTCTGTTGGGTTTTGTCTCTTTCAAAATCAGCATTATGTTAGGAAGATCGTCTTTGTTATCACCGTCCTAGAACTATATTGTCAGTTCATTTTCATTGTTGAATAGTATTCCATTATATGATTATATCACCAGTTATTTACCATTATATCACTAAAGACACATTGACTGTTTCCAGTGTTTGGTTGTTTCACATCATACTCGTGCACATATATGTGAGTTTCACTCACATTGAACCCAGGAGTGGACTTGCTGGGTTTTAGAGTAGTGTAGCTTTAATTTTACTAGATGATGCTGAAGTAATTGTATTACTTTATACAGTGTACGAAAATGTCCTTGTTCTGCATTCTTGTCAGAGTTTTAAACAGTCTGATGGTGTGTGATACTTTTGGTTGCTAATAAGTAATTCTTTTTATATATTTATTGGTAAGTTGGATTTCTTTTGTGTTCTGTTTTTTTGTTAATTTAGCTACTGATCTTTTTCTTGTTTATTTGTAGAGTGTATGTGTATACTACATATGTATGTATTTTTGGGGGGATTTAAAAATTTTTTTTATTAATACATGTTTGCAGTATATAATGATTCACTGTAGGGAATTGGTACATGTACATAATACATCCCTTCTTTTTTTCTCCCTTCCTCCATGCCTGTTTTATTTTTCCAGCATCAGATTCACTTATTTCTTTTATAGACCTCATAAAATTATCATATATATAGACTGAAAACAGACTAGTAGGGCAAAGAACATACAAAACATGTAAGAAAATTGTAATAAGTCCAGGTACACTTTTAGATACATTGTCTACACTGGATTAAATACCATTTTTTTTTGCTTTCTCTTTTTTCCTATTATCTATCGTTCATATAAAAGAAACCATGCAATATTTAAGCTTGTGTGCCTGAGTTACTTTCCTCAAATTATGATCTCAAGGTGCATCCATTTTCTTATAAATGACTCAAGTATATCCTTCTTCATGGCCATATGTATGTATATTAAAAATACAAATACATATATATTTTGACTTTTAACCATTTGTTGGTTATGGTTATCGTAAATATAAGTTCATTCTGTGACTTTTCCCCTTCTCATTGTAGTATATTTTTATTAACAGAATTCTTTTTTTGTTTGTTTTTGAGTCAAGGTCTCTCTGTATGTAGTTCAGATTGGCCTTCAACTCACTGTGTGGGCCAGGATGACCTCAACTCACATGATCCTCCTGCCTCAGCCTCCTGAGTGCTGGGATTACAGGCATGTGTCACCATGCTCGGCTAAACAGAATTATTGATTTTAATGTAGCCTAATGTGTCAGATTTTTCCTTTATAGCAAATGCTCTATATTATGTTTAAGGCATTCTTTCCTAACCTAAGAACATGATTCTCCATTTTATTCTTCTATTTAATTCTCCATTTTATCTTCTAAAAGCTTTATGATTTTTACTTTAAGTAGTTAGCAGAGTAATTCACTGAGAATAGATTTTTGTGTATGGTGGGAAGTAGGGTCTAATTTCACGTTTTTCCCATATGCTTACATACTTACCTCAGAAGCATTCACTGGCGTGTGGGGAGAGGGTATCCTAACTCCTCTGCAGTGTCTGATCATACATTGTTTCCACAGTGTTTATTCTCTTCATCAGTTTGTCTATCCTGCTATCTTAATTAGGAAAACATTTTTTAGTAGTCTCTGCTGCAGTAAGGTTTCTTCTTCAGTAGTGTCTAATGTGTTCTTATCCCTTCTGTTCCATTCCATTGGTTCTATTCCATTCTCTTCCCTTTCCTCCCATTCCTCCCTCCCTCCCTCTGTCCTTCCTGTCTGTTCTTCCTCCTCTTTCTCCTCCCTCCCTTCCTCTTCTTTTATTTATTTATTTATTTATTTATTTATTTATTTATTTATTTGCAGTACTAGGGATTGAACCTAGGGCCTTGATACTAAGCTACGTCTCTACAGCCCTTTTTATTTTTTGAAACAGGGTGAAGCTGAGGCAGCTGGCCTTGAATTTGTAATCCCATCTGCCTCAGACTCCTTAGTAACTGGGATTACCACCATGCTCAGCTAGGTCACTGTACTCTTGATTTCCTCATACTTCTGTGTCTCTCCCTCATTCTCCTTTGCTAGCATGTCCTCTGCCTGCCTGCCTGCCTCCCTGCCTCCCTCCCTCCCTCCCTCCCTCTCTTTCTTTTTGACATTTAGCAGTGCATGTTTGCAGCACATGATTACATTCAGTGTAGGGGATTGGTACATGTATATAACACATTTCCATTCCCTGCTTTTAACCCTTTCCCTCCATCCCCTTTTATTTTTCCAGCATCAGATTCATCTATCTTATAAGAGCTTATAAAGTAAATTATCATATATACAGA